ATCTCTTCTCTCTTCTGCTATCTTCTCTCTCTTTCTCTTTCCTCTTCCCCCTATTCTTAAAAATTCAAGAATATTCCTAACATTATGTATTTCTTCCCTTCAAATATTGATAGGTATAAATTTAGGAGTAATAATTTTCAACATGACCTACTGACAAGACACAAACACGATACGAAAAATTCGTGTTCGGGTCGACCCGTTTTCAAATTTGTGTCGTGACTTTGGATTGACAAAAATTTGTGTCGTGTCGCGTGTCAACCAACGAACTCAAAATTGACCCGTGTTCATATTCCTACAGGTTATTCATGTCGTGTTGTAAACAGATTATTCATATCTTATCGTGTTATGTCGACCAGCATAATAAGTGATACGGTTTGGAGTTGATGGGTTATTCGAGTTGTGTCATATCGTGTCAACCCACATAATAAGTGACACGCTATATGTAACATCACGTTCCAGACCGGTCCGTTAACATACATATGGTAAAAAAGCAGCATAAATATATGCCTAAACGGAAGCCTTATATGTACATGTCAATCAATACAGAGTGTAAACATACGAACAAATTTATTTCTTTATTTATCTTTACCTAAAGCCTATAATAATCCTTTTTAAATTACTTACTTATCTGTGCAATCCCAAACCTGCACAGAACTCTTACTTACTTAATCAGTGACCATACCTAACGATCATCAACTATCCGAATATGATTACTAGTACCATTTCGGACAGAAACTTAAAGACAACATAACAGCTATAAACTGGACTAACCAGAGATCAGTTCCCCCAATAATCTTCAACCTGTAATCCAAAAAAGTCCAATATACTAAATATCCATATTAACAAATTCAGAACACATTCATGGACTCCTACTCAACTTGGCTCCATGCCAATCTTAGTAAACTTAACTTGTACATATCTATAATCTCATGTCGATTCTTATAAACATAACATATAGATATATCGCTCATAACCATACATTCATCCACTACTCATAATATAAAACATAAACATATGGGAAAAAGGTGTATCATTTTAAATGACACACCTTACATCCTTTCACTCGCACAAAGAGATGGGACCCACATCTTTAAAAAAATTTCCCCCACTCTCTCTCCTATGATTTATCTCTTTCTCTCATTTAAAATGACACAACTTTGTATCCTTTAAAATGATACACACTTTTCCCTAAACATATATACATATACTATTTCCATAACAATAATCGACTAACCTATTGCTATGTCTACTAACAATCATAAATATATCTCCTTAGAGAGCTTAACTACGACCTGAGTACCTGAAAACATTAACCCCAGACAGAGTGAGATATGAAGTATCAGTTAGCTCAAGGTTTATGGAAGGATTCTCCGCCCCTGAGTTCATTTCCTGCATGAAAGGTTAGAACACATAACATAGCAGAAACATATATCTTAACTTATCCAAATCTTAAAGACTTATCTTAATACACATGAACCTGAACACATATCTTGATACTCATAATATCTTAACACATAACTTAATACCTACTGATCCTTAACCTAGACTTAATACCTACATATCCTAAACCATAATTGAAGACATACAAATTCGTAATCATGATTTAACATATAAATCATAAATACTTAATTCAATGAACACAAATCCTACTATCCCGTATGGTTATCCTAATGGATTCATACACTAGCCGAAGCTACACCCTCTATACTTGATATATACATACTATAATCTCCTATATAAATCCCCTAGGATTCTATCATGAAGTTAAACCTCAAACAATAAATAATTCTGAACACTTGAGCCTTCACAATTGTTCTAAAGAACCAATCCCTTACGGAGACTTCATATAATTTATCACGTAATCACTCACATAATCCGATCATATTTCCCGGTCAATTATCTGGTCACCAAATCAAATCATTATACCCAGTCACATACTCGATCGTAATGTCAAACTTTAATACATAACGACAAGAAGTATTTTCCCAATATGGAAAAATCTGTATTATCATACATAACATATCCATGTAAATTCATACATAATATATTTGTATAAATCATACATAAAATATCCTTATAAAACCATACACAACATATTCGTCTTTCATATAAACATGCTAAGATATGACAATCTGAAAATGTAAGTCCTGCCTCAAATAGTCCATACCTACATCTAGGGGTGAAACTGGGCCGGGCCGGCCTACAAGGGCTTACAGCTCGGCCTACATCAGGCTAGACCTGACCTAGTATATTTTGTATAATAGGCCGGACTCGGGCCTTAAAAAAGTATGTTTAATAAAAAGGCCGTAGGCCCACTTTCAAAAGGTCGGGCCTATAAGCCTACAGGCCGGCCTATATTGTACTATTTATTTTAAATAAAATAAAATAAAATAGAGTAAGTATGCCTTGAAGAAGAAAAAAAAAGATATAAATTTAATCAATTGCAATTATTTATAACTTAATCATATTCGATTATATTTTAACAGAAATCTTACTTTATTTCTTATATAGGAGGAACCAACATCTCAACATGTTAGATTGTGTATATGAATATATTAAAAGATTTTTGGCAGAGGTTATACTTACTACAAACATCATGATGTGTTTGTTGGATTCATGTAGTTATTTTAATTTACATAGTATGGATTTGTTTGTTGGATCTGATGAAATATATGTTATTTAATTTGACCATTTTGCTTTTGAAAATGACTTAAATGCATATTGTATTAGTTTTGTTATGATTCATAATTCTGTTTGGACGTTGAAATTATGATTTTTGGTGTAGTAACAAAATTTGAGTACTTTGTAAAGTTGATTCATGGTTCTGCTTAGAAGTTAAAAATTAACAGGCTAACAGGCCAAGTTAGGCCATTTCTTTTTTTCATAAATCGGCCAAACAAGGCTAACAGTTAGACTCATACTAGGCTTGGACCGGGCCAAATTGAAATTTTTTGACGTAGGCTTGGACTTTTCGGGGCAAAGCTCGGCCCAGCCCAACCCAACCCACTTTCACCCCTACGTCTCTAAGCAACATAGTACTCACAGAACCATAATATAACATAATCTCCAGGCATCCTAGTACTCACGGAGTATGTTCATTGGCCAAGAACCGTAATGACATATTTTCATACGTACCTATTCAGACATAATAGCGTAACATATAACATATCCATGATGTGTGTTTTCCAAAACAGAAATTCCACACGTGAAGTATTCCCCAAAATAGCAACTGTAACATAACATGTAGCATATATATAACATATACACCCACTTAATGCTTTCTTGTGAACTCTTATTTTTTGCTTCTCTTCTTTCTTTATGAAAAAACTTAGTCAAACCCAATTTTATAAAACCTCTTCTCATAAAATGAGCTTTTTCTTTATAATGAAGAAAAATGAAAAAACCTCCCAAGAGGAGCTTTTCATAATATGTGTTTTAACTTTTTGAATTCTTATATTTATTTTTCAATTTTACTATTATTCTACACAATTTTTTATAAATTTTATCATTTACCCTAATAATTTATCCTAATAATAAATTATTTCATCTTTTCTTAAAAACGTAAGAACTTTATATAATTATCAAATAACTCCAAACTTTATTTTTCAAGCTCTTTTTTAACTTTAACTTAAAAATAGTTTTTAACTAAAAATATATGTGAAACATAGAAATGTAAATGGATCAGACAACTTATTAAGAGCCTAAGATCCAACCTACATATGCCAAATTTGGTCTATTATATATACTAAAATAAAACAAGCTCAAGTTTCTAAAAAAACCTTTTTAAAAAATAGACAATGTGCTTTTATTACAAGGCACGACCTAAAAATTTATAGGCTAACTTATATTATATTATTTATTTAAAATAAAATAAATAAATTTATTATTTAAATATTTTAAATAATAAAATAATATTTTTTAATTATTGAATAACTAATAAGCTTAAAAAACTAACAAGCTTAGGCCAAGTCTTTTATTAGAGTTATTTTCTCCTACTAGTAACCCTTCAATTTTCGAGCAGTATTTTCTTTTGTTTTTTTATTTTTTTAATAGATACGAGCCCCACATAAGACATGTCTACAACATGAAGAAAATTTCTCCTACCACATAAGAAAATCGAAACCCTTAAACCTATACAAGATTAACAAATCAAATTAGACCTAAAAAGTATTATAGACAAGTCTAGCCAATTTAAACCAAAAGTGAATCCGCCTAGCTCATTTACACCCCTATGTAATACGCTCTTAGACTAAAACTCGCCGAGAGACAGTTAAGAATGCTTTAATGAGATATTCTAAGCATGAACACAATAAAAGAGGAAATCGTGCAAATGTGAATGGGCATAACACACTCACGCATGCATCCGTACAGTTTCTGAAGCATTTAAAGATCTTGAGAGACGCACGCAAATGTAACTGGATGTAACATTCTAAAATACTTATGTTTCTAGAGTTAATAGTTCTGCGGCATAGTCATTTTAGATGCCCCTTGCTTGAATGATTTTATGGAGGGCGAGAGTTGCGATCTCCCTTCAACTCTTGGTCCTTGCTCCGCTACCATAGGTCAACCACAAATTCATACTTTCCCTCAATAATACAGAGATTAATAATCCTAGCAATCCTCCCTAGACCAGAGCTTCAGAAGCCTCTGAACACAAATACAAACATAAGCAAAGAAAGAACCCTCTCTTGAAATGTAGTTCCTGCATGCTTCCTAGAGTTAGGGTAAATTCAACCCACTCACCAACATATCAATCAATTAAAATAGTTTATCATAACACCTAGAGATATGAGACTTAAACCATCCACATCCCCCATATAATCAAACAAACTACTAGACTGAGGTCATTCTGCCTTATAAATATGTTGCAATTCTTGTATGAACAAGGCAAGAATTGCAACTTGCAAATGAAGTTATATTCCCAAAATACAAATCCATAAAACGCATTGAAATCAATTTTGAACTACATCAATAATCAAAGTTTTTTAAAACCATGTGCCACGTGTTTTCTAAAATTTAGTCATTCAAATCATTGTACTATCATTAAACAATTGTACATTGCACTGACTAAAAGTTAAGAAGTAATTAGCACAAGCTATAATAGCCATTCAATAACTGGATACAACCACAATCAATCTGAACATACACACAAACCAAATCTGCTTGATGCAAAACAATCTAGAGAAGGGGAGAAATTGACATGTGGCCCACACAACCAACATCTTGGTTATTTACAATTCCAGAAGCCTCCTTAATTGGGATCAGACTTGTCCAAAGCTGCAACAAAATGTAACATCAGTGTAAAGTGTAAACGAAATTATAATATAAACCAACAAACATGAGCAAAAAAGAATAACAGAGGGAGACAGAAGTTACTATTGTAATTCAGAAGCTTCTCAATGAGGTCAACATGAGTCATAAGCATGCGTCTACAGCAATAACGAACCAACCCCAAAGCATCCAGTGCATCTCTGCATCCCATCATTATGTGTTAATACTACAATATGAGAACCCTAGATACTAAAATGCTGCCAAGGATTCAAGAATTGAGATAATGCCACCTAATATCCACTTAAGAGATGCAGTTGGGGAATGGGGAAAAGCAATATTGTACTGTATGTGGTAATGCTTTTCAAAAATCTTTGCCAAATGCCAATAAAATTATTCTCAATAACAAACATTTTTCAACCTTTAAAAAAAAAAACCTGCAACAATTTCTTAATTTCTCAAGTTCCAACACATTTCATTTTGGGTGATATAGGAAATGAAAAGGGAACAAGTTAGTTATAAAACCCATGATCTTTATAATCAGGACTGGGGCTACGAGAGCTATCAGCTCAGTGACAAGTCCCAACAAGTTTATTTGCGGCTAAGCCAGACGCGTGGCATGTGTACACCATCACTCAAGTAACATATATACCAGCTAGCAATTTAAGTTGTGACCACTGAGGCACTAAATTTGCGACAATGAGGCAAAAATGCAACAAAATTATACAAGGAGATAACTTTAGAAATCTCAATAGACCAGACAAGTTTCTAGACACAAAGTTGTTTTTCCATCCATACCTGAAATGAGTGGTTCTAGGAAAGTCAACAATTTACAGAGAAACATCCTCATCCACAACATCTCTTACACAAAGTGCATTTAATGATATAAATACAAATTGATTATATGTTCATAATCACAAACGCAGTCCAGGGACGAGTCATGCTAAACTCAGGTAATGCTGATTGACAAAAGAATGTCAAACACAATTTAATTTAAAAATACAAACAAACACCATGATATCAATATAAGAAACTAAAACATTTACCAACAGCTCCACAAGAAAAACAAGGTATTAGCACGCCTCTCGCACAGACAACAGGAACAAATTCAATAACATCTCTATAAAAGGATAATCACTTAATCAAATACATAAAAAATTAAAAATCGGATTAAACTACTCAATCTCTGAAACCCCAATAGGACATATTCGATTTCAGCAAGCACAAGATAGCCAGCAAGAACCAATGACGGTTATGTAACATACCCAATAGGCCAACGAAACTAGAAAATTAAATGACTTGCCCCAATATAACAAACCAAAAAAAAATTGAATCTTTCGATTAAAACCTCTATTTTTTGTACCAAAAAATAAAAAAAGCACAGAAAAAAAAATAGAGGGGTTGATATTTGAGAAAGGTACCCTTCACTGTAGTCTGCCTGGAGAAGGTCGAGATAAGGATCCCATTTGTTTCCAATGACCTGAATGTGAGAAAACAAATTGGGTATTAATTAGCCAAAACCCTAAACCCTAATAAGTCTCAAAATGGTGAGTGAAAAAGGGCTTGTGAAAAGCCCTTTTTCTGTTTAGTGGTAATGAAAAGAGAGTGTCGGGAATGGAAGTAAGTACCTTTCCGCATGTGAAACAGCGAACAGGGATAATCATCTTGTTCTGTGCGTGCTCAACTCTCGCAGGTTCTTTTCTTGTTTGCTTTGCCCTGTGCTCACAGTATTCACTCCTTTGGTTGTTTAGTTTTTATTTGCAAGCAGGCTTTAAGCTACTTTAAGCCCAAAAGAAATTTACTAAACAGCATTATTAAATCCTTCAAAAATATACTGGCACAAATTTACAAACTTTTCCACGTGATAATATAAGTAGATATGCACTAATGTTAAAACTTTATAAATATTCACTAATCTTAACATGATTTCACTTTTCTTTTTCTTTTTTTTCGTAAGCTTATTTAATGTTTGTGTAAAGAGATATACACAAATTTTTTACGTAACAAGGGGCATATGTATAAGTTTTTTTTTCAAAATATATTTTAATGTTTAAGTTTGCTAGAACAAAAAATCTCTATCAACAAAGTTCAGCACAGTTGGTAAATAGCTGGATTTCTTAAGCATGCTGACAGGGATTCGATTCCTGGCCGTGCGTACAGAAAAGACTTTGTTGGAAGAGGTTTACCTACTTAATGTGATCTCCCGCCTCGAAATGATTAGTCTCCCACTGTTAGTTGTAGGATGGATACCATAGGAAACCAAAAAAAAAAATCTCTACTAGTGTGCATAAGTATATAGGTTTTGATTAAATTTAAAATATTATTTTTAAAATGTAAGATTAAATCTTAATAATTCAAATTAGTAATGTTACAGTATTTTTCTTGGTCTTAAGTGTGGAGGCAAAGAAGGAATTTTGTCTAATAATCTCAAATAAATAAATAAATAACGAGGAAAAGAGGTGGATAGCCCAGACTAACTTTGTATGTTCCTTGCATTTGATTAAACAATCATACATACTCATTGGATAATCCGTTGATCAATTTCATTGTCGAACCAAACTGAATTAGTTTTAATTGTTTGGTTGTTCAAATTGAAACGATTTTAGTTTTCAAATCGGTTTTTCTTTTCTTGAACAAATTAAGAATCGGTTTGGAACTGGTTGACCGTTAAAAATTGTTTTGGAACTAGTTCCAAAATCATTTTTGAAATCGGTTCAAAATTAATTTGTCTCCTAATTGATTATGAATCTGAACCCATTCTAAACTGATTTTGAATTTATTTCAAACTAGTTTTAAATCAAATTTTAGGATTTTGAGTCATTTTCATGCTTTTAAAATTTGAAATTATTACCTTTGACTTAGGATTGTGAGTTGATTTTATAGTAGGCTATATTCATAGAATGAGTTGTTACAATGATATTTATTTTTCTTTTGAATGATGATGTGCTCCAATCTATTTATCTTTTCTACGCAATAATTTTCTTTTGAATTTCAAGTTTTTAATTTGTAATTTATAGAAAGATATTTTTTTTAACAGTAACTTTTTTTATTTTTTACACAACGCTATATATATTTATTTATATATACACTATTTCAGATTTATATAATTTTATTATTTAATTGATACTAAATTTACATATTCTTAAATTCTAATTTTAGTACGTACTTTTAATATGATACGTTATGTAACATGTTTTTGTTTTTGAACATTATTCCTAAAATATGATAAGCTCACTTTGACGTAAATAACGTAGTTTTTTTTTTTTTTTTTAAGGTGAGCAATAAAGTAGGTTTTATTCAAAGAAAGATGGCAACCACAATCACAGTATTAACCCAATTAACTTTAAAATATTTAACAAAAAACTATTCATACCTCTTTATAAAATTAAAAAATATGAAAATGATACTTTTTAAAAAGTAATAATATTTACCCTTTAAAAAAATTGAAATAAATAAAAATATTTTTTAAAATTTTAAAAGGAAATTGAAATTTTCTTTAATTGGGTTAAAAATTAGTTTAGATCGGCTCTTTTGATTCTTAATCGAATTCAATTAAAATGATTTGGTTCATAAATCACTTTAGATAAAGTGATTCAATTTATTTTACCAAAAATAAAAGTGATTCAATTTAAAAATTAATTTAGAAAACATAAAAATCTTTTGTTGCAATTCAATTCGATTCTATTAGGTTGTTTTAAATTTCTTGCACGCCTCTACCTACAGTTTGATTACATCTAGTAATAAATTTGAAATCAGGATTATGCTATACATGAATGAATGTTGTAGATTATGAGTCATCTAACCTATTTCTATCGTGTTGAATTCGCCTTCTCCATTTAATCGCGCCCCGACTGGTCAAAAAATGTAAAATAAATACAAAATAAGTATTCCTAACATTGTCAATATCATATAATAGACAATATGCACTTTTCATTAAAACCACATTGTTTTAGGACGGAAATTAAGGTATTTTTATAGTTATAATTTATTTCAGAGTTATAATAGTCTCTTTCATTATAATTTTTTTATTTTTCAATCCAAAATGACGTCGTGTTGGGGATGAATGTAGATAACTTATCTACATTCACTATAGAAACATTAAAGCCTATATATATATATATAGGGATTTACATTTCTACAGCTGTTGTACGTGCAACAATCAAATACTTGCCATATATATACGTGAAAGCATTAAATGCGAGGAATCATAACCATACAAATGATGAAAGCATTAAATATGGAGAATCGTAACCATACACATGTCGTTGCTTACGTAAAGCGGCTGCATAAATGATTTTACTATATATATATATATACATATATATATATATATAGCTTATCGTTTCTCAAGCTGATTGAGACAATGTTATTTCCGGCTACTAAATCATAACCGTACGAAGATGGATCAATGGTGATAAAGGAAGAGAGAGAAAAAGGGAATCACAACCATTCAAAGGTGAATCAATTAATATAAAGAAATAAAAAAACAAATCGACGTAGTTTTGGGGTGGCCGAAGATAAACTTATCTCAAGCAGCTTGAGAAATGTTTTTTCCATATATATATGATAACCGTTAATTGGCGGAAATCAACGGTTAAGATGTGGTAGTAACATTATTTGGTTGTCACAATATCATATCCCATATATATATATATATATATATATATATATATATATATATATATATATAGACTTATCGTTTCTCAAGTTGTTTGAGCTAATTTTATCTCCGGTTACTAAATCATAATCGTACAAAGATGAATCAATAATGATAAAGGAAGAGAGAGAAAATGAAAATCATAATCATTCTGAAAGGTATCAGAATTCAGAGAAAGAAACTGAAAATGTAATCTTGTATATTTAGAAAATGAAAACTTAGTTATTGAGTATTACAAGTGCCAGCTATATATACTAAGCTATTCTACTCACTAAATGCTTAAGCATTGGTAACAGAATACAACTGTCATCAAACAGTTATAACTGAATATATCAGTTGCAATCCTAACTGATTATATCAGATACACTGTCATCCCCCCTCAAGCGAAGTGGTCAATCTTTTTGACACACGAAGCTTGGTTCGAAAATCAGAGAAAGAAGTGTTGGATATAGCTTTAGTGAGGCCATCGGCAAGTTGATGAACAGCTGGGACATGATGAACTGAAACAAGCTTGTTGATAACTTTCTCACGTACAAAATGAAGATCAAGTTCAAAGTGTTTTGTACGGGAATGAAACAGGGGATTAGCACTAAGAAGGACTGTGCTAAGGTTGTCACAGTAAATTGTTGGAGTCTTGATCAGTCCAATATGTAGCTCACTTAGAAGAGATCGTATCCACATGACTTCAGTGATGGTGGAAGCAAGGCAGCGATATTCTGCCTCTGTACTGGAGCGGCTGACAACTGATTGCTTCTTGGAGGACCATGATATCAGGTTGCCACCAAGGAATATACAAATTCCAGAAGTAGATTTGCGGTCATCAGGATCGGATCCCCAATCACTATCACAAAAGGCTGAGAGATGGAAGTGAGAAGACTGACCAATGTGAAGGCCATGAGAGAGTGTGCCACTTAAGTAACGAAGGATTCGCTTTACAGCCTTCCAATGTGTGTCAAGGGGGCAGTGCATAAATTGGCAGACTTTATTGACTGAGAATGTTATTTCTGGACGAGTGATGGTTGCATACTGAAGAGCACCCACTATAGATCGATACAAGGAAGGATCATGAAAGGCTGAACCATCCTTGGAGGATAAACGTTGGCCAGAAATCATTGGAGAAGGCATGGGCTTACAATCTGTCATATTAGCTTTCTTCAAAAGGTCAGTAATATACTTGGACTGAGAGAGATGCAGTTGTCCAGTGGAGGATTTATGAGCTTCAATTCCGAGAAAATAGTGCAATTGACCAAGATCTTTGAGAGAGAAGGCAGCATTCAGATCTTTAATAAGGGAAGAGATTACTTGGGGATGTGATCCTGTGACCAAGATATCATCAACATATACAAGAACAAAGGTAGTGGCAGAAAAGGCATAAGAAACAAATAAGGAACTATCACATTTGGTAGAAGTGAATCCCAAATTAGTTAAGGTAGAGCTGAGTTTTGCAAACCAAGCTCTTGGAGCTTGTTTAAGTCCATACAGAGCTTTAGTAAGTCGACAAACAAGCTGTGTGTTTGGAGTAGCAAATCCTGGAGGCTGTTGCATGTAGACTTCTTCAGAGAGCTCACCATTTAGAAAGGCATTATTTACATTAAGTTGATGTATAGGCCAACTTCGAGCAAGAGCAATAGTGAGAACAACTCTAATGGTGGTTGGCTTGACTACAGGGCTGAAGGTTTCTGCATAATCAAAGCCTTCAACTTGATGGAATCCCTTGGCCACAAGTCTAGCCTTATATTTGGAAATGGAGCCATCTGGATTATATTTTGTTCTGAAAACCCATTTGCATCCAATAGGTGATCTGGCTTGAGGAAGAGAGACAAGCTTCCATGTGTTGTTGCGGAGAAGAGCACTAAATTCATCCTTCATTGCTTGGAACCAGTGTGGTTGAGCAATGGCTTGAGCAGTAGAAGTAGGTTCGATGGAAGTGAGAAGTGCTTTTGGTTTGAAGATGCCAGCCTTGGCTCGAGTAACCATGGAATGTTTATTGTTGTTGGCAGTAGATGATGATGCAGGTAAATCAGTAATAGGTTCTATAGGTGCTGCAGGTGCGTCAAGGGGAGCATCAAAGTGAGAAGAAGTTGGTTGAG